TGCGATATGACATCAGTTACGCAGCACCTTCACTGTCCTTGGGGGCAACAAATTTCCAGCAACATCGAACAACATCGCACATTAAAAAAAGCTCTCTATATCTCTGCGAAGACAGGAACTGTAAATGAACCGATGTCCTCGAATCTGTTGCGTTGTCTATAAACGCCTCTACCAACAGGGCAACTAGCATCTTGCCGCATTACGTCATCACCGGCGGACACCACAACATCGGTTTACCCAAACTACCCCACCGGAGCATTACCAATGATAGCCCCTTTGCTTACGGCATGCTGATAAACGCTTTGCTGCGACAAGTTCACCAACACGTCACTCTAGCAAACAATAAGGCCGACCACAAGACGAACAAACATCTGAACCGGCTCGTCTATAATGATCCGATACAGGTCCATAGACCTCACTCAGCCGGAGCCTACATATTAGATCTGCCTTAGACAGGTAGTTACCAAGTCATCAAGACGAACGATACGTTACTCCAAATTGCAAACGGTAATGGCAAAACTAGTTGGGTTCATCGCGCTCACGTACGTCGCCTTGTACCTCGGCCTGACCACCATATTTATACGAACTTGCCCACCTCCACAGATTCTCTAAGCAACGCCCGACTGGGCACCTCATTTTTCGTCTGACGACCATGTAAACAATGAAAACTACAGATCAAGCGAACTCACACATTCATCGGTACCGATATTCCAAAGAACAAATCCGAAAAAGAAAAACACGTGGTCAGCTATCGAAAAATTTTTAAAAATTCATTATGCACTAAAAAACGAAAAAAAGAGCATCACCGGACCATACATACGACACACGAACTCATCCGTGAATCAGAATACGAACTAGTCTTCCTAAATTTAGATCTTCCGATTCATGCTACACTAATTTTCACCACTGGCCGGATGTGAATGTTCCAAAACCAAGTCTGAACTAAAATTCTATCAACTGCGCATAGACTCCGCACATACCTTCCGTTTTTACTCACACACTCAAAGAAAAAATAAGCAAAACAATCCAGAATATCCACCTCATAGCACCCACTCCCGCCTAAAGAAACAAAATAAAAACCGGGGCCGATTTCTGCTTAAGAATAAAAACTCATCAAAGGGACACTTTCATTAGTTGGACAGTATCTTGACTCGGGTTGACAGACTTGGTCGGAAAGCGACCTCCTATCTCCAAGAAACAGTTCACCAAAGGCCGTCGCTACAGTAAGTCAAATCTCACCCTCCATCTCTCACTGTATGCCTCTGAGAACGCCTTTTACAACTCCACTTATCTCATTTTTTCAAGAGAAATTTACACCGATTTATTATTTGCTGTATTTCACGTTAATACAATTGTTTATTCCTTTAAACCTTCATTGTTTCTTCTTTGTTCTGCCACCATACGTTTAATATAACAAATGTAAGACAAAGTACGTAATATTTTCAATATTTTTATAAGAATTGTTATTAACGAGATGTACACCTTGAAGAAAGCCATACTTTGTAACAGTCAATCATCCTTACATTGTTATTGTGTATGTTACTTCACGATGACAGAACAAAGCAAAGAAAGTATTTTCGGAAATATATGAAAGCCAAAAAACAGTGACATTATAAACACACATAAAACTAAAAAATATATTTTACTCGGATGGACTGTGAATTCATTATCTGAAATTTTTAATTTTCACTGCATAATCTTCGATGGAGCTGCTTAATATTCACCGGTGCATAGAGAAAGGAAAAGAGATTTATGAAAAATAAATATCTTACGTTTAAATTATTATATGCGATTACACTTGGACAAGTATCATCATCTTGGTTGTTATACTCAAAACGTTTTCGTACTCACTTAGTTTCTCTAAGTGTTTTTCATACTTAGTAGCCTTCACATTTTGAATCGAATCCTTTATTCAATTCATTCCGCACGTAGGTTGTTCTCATTCTGCTCTCCATGCTTAGTACATATTCCGCTTCAGTTAAATCATTGTTGTGTTAGTTTCCCATTTCCTTTCAGTCAAGCAGAGTATGTGACTTTTCAGTACTACCAGATCCAGGGATTGAACCCACAGCTACCAGAGAGACAAATATGTTAACCATCGCTTTAATCCAGTAAGCTACTCTCTCTTCTTGGAGAATCCAATGGTCTAATTTTGGAACTTTAAATATAACGTCTGTTCTCAATAGATACCATTTATAGTGTTCTTTTTTAGCCAGAAGCTAAAAGAGTGTGTTCATCTCTATTGATAGCTCTGCTGAGGAGGTTGTCAGAGCCTAAAGGATTTTTAGACAAAAGAAAAATAAAGAATGTGAGGACCAAACTCATTAAACGATAGCAACTAGCTATTTTGTAGTATTCTACAATTTTGTTCGTTCTAGTATCCCCATCATTATTGGTTTCGGCTGATGCGTCCTTTGGTTTCCTTCAAGAGTTGATCCTATTATAGATATTTTAAGAAAAATGAGTCAAAGAGAGCTGTAAATTATTACGAGTTACACTAAACATCACAGAAGAAAACTGAAGATCGTGTTGTCCGAAATGTAATTATAAAGTCAACAAATAAAATATTAGTCGGAACAGTTCATGTAGTGATTTTCCAAGGCCGAAATTAGGGATCGAATTCACTACTCAGCCGTAAATATTCTGGCAAGACACGCTCGCTAACCATTACACCGCCTCGATGTGACCAAATGGTTATTTTCTAAGCATAGTTTAGATGTGGTACAAGGCCGAAAGTATGGGGCACCCAGTGAGGATCGAACTCACTTCATTGTAGTAATTGATCTTGCGAGACAAACCTGCTAGCCATTACACCATGTTGAGGTGCCCGTCGGAACAGTTCATGCAATACCTTAGAATTTTCTTAAACAGAATTCGAAATTTGTAGAAACATTCAACCATATTTTAAATAAAATGTGTGTATATGTGTACAATGCACAAATTTCAAAACTATTAAGAAAAAAGTTAAAGTTCCTCATAGTAAAAAAATTGATCAGCAACGTTTAACTTTTCATCAAAACAATAAGAACAAACATGAATACTATGAAAAGCCTGTTGTTGTTGATTGTTCATTATCTGACATACATATTACACTGGAATCAGCATCATTATTACTCCGGTGAACGCTAGCAACCAATTAATCATTCCGTCGTATACATCTCAAATATATATAACTCCAGTATTCAGGGATGAGCCTTAGATTTTGCATGTTTACAAAACTTAGCCGATTACTCATTTCCTTCAGCTCATCGCCAGGAATAAGGATTTCTTTGTTCAGATGAACGATCATCACTAACATAGTCAAGAATTCCAAAATATGTTATTATGTACACATTTTTATTTATTCATTTTTTTTTTACAGTTTTTCTTAAAACAAAACCAAGATATTTGGCTGCGGGGGGGGTTACCCTCCTATGTAATATCTGAAAGGATTCAGCACCTTTCAAATTGCTTTATTTAAAATTTGTTTTTTTTCAAATTGTTTGATCTCTAACACTTTCGCCCCAGCCCCTCAACCTCCAACGTCTTACTCTCTGGGTTGACGTATCTATTCTGCCCTAACCGAACTTAAGGGAGTGGCCGTAGGTCCCCTGAGCATCTGTAGATTATTCGACCGGTCCACTGGTTTAATCCTACTTCCTGCCCTCGTTGAGTTTGGTTTGATCCAGAAAGCAGAAGTGATGTTCACGGTCGACTGAAGATGTAGACACGGCTGGGAAGTCTGCGATAAGAAATTTAGAATGCAGCAAAAAAAAAAAAAAAAAAAAATTAATATCGGCAGAAAGCCGGACAAACATCGATTCAATGGTTGAATTGGTAATGTCTTTTATATAGCAGAAAAGAATAGTAGAGAAAAGAAAAGTAAAAAAACAAAAACAAAAAAAACTCCTACACTGGATTCTAGACAGAGAGAGAGTGTATGTGGTTATCTTATTAAACAATATATGACTCTTGCGATGGAGGGATAAAGTTTTTTGTGCGGGGCTTAAAGTTATAGTGGCGTTTCTCTTTCAAGCGCTCGCCTGGGCCAATTCTCTCTTCAAGAATTTTTCGCCTGTCAGTCTTTTGCAGCATAACTACGCGTTTATATAGATAAACCCGGCTGATTATAACTGACCCTCGGCCCTACTACTTCGCACGCGATTATCACGGGGTTCTGGCTGCTTCAACCAAAATCATGTGAATTCCAAAGTCCCTTCTAGCTTACTCAGATCTATTTCAATTTTTAATCGATAAAAATTATTTCGACCATTTCCATTGTCTACTGATGACCCAGATTCAATGGGTACAACTTCTGCCCAAGATCAGATTTCCCCATCAGTAAACAAAATGCTGATTTAATTTCGCTATTCAAATCTACTCCAATTTCACTAAAAAAAAATATACGTGTGTGTCTGTGTGTGTTTCACAGACTCTCTCTCTCTCTCTCTGTCACATTTCCTCCCCTACCCATCTGTCATTTACTAGTAAATGACACACGAGCTTTCATATCAACAAAATATGAGAAAACCCATTCCAACGTGCTTCTTACTAGCGGCCTACTTAAACATACGTCTCTTCCAGCATGCAAAGCTAGAGTCCTTAGTTTTTCTTAGGGCTCATTATGCCCATTTACATTTTCATTGTCCTTACGATACATATGTACATGCAACTTCCGGTTAAAGTTCACTGTTTTGGTGATCTCGTACAATGGAACCTTTTCACACAGTTCACTAGTTCGAGGGTTCTTTCCTTTTTTTCTTTTTTTTTTTTTTGTAAAGTTCACAACACTCCTTACCAATTATTTCAGTCTCATTACTAAAAATAAAAAAATTGATTTATTTCAGAAATCTGTCCCTCCGATTTTGTCTCGCTTTCACAACAGGCTTTGTCGAATCTTTTGTTGGTTCAGGTCCTTCCATGACAATCGTGGACTCTTCTTCAATATCACTTAGGGGTCCCAATGCACTCGGGTCGGACCTACCTTGGTAAGTGCATTAACTGGGATTCCTCTTTCATTCATGCACTCCCGTGCCAGTTTATTCTGCCCAGTCAACAACACCTCACGCCTCTTCAACCACCACCAAACTAGCAAGGCCACGACTGTCATTAGTATAATTCCCACAACGGTCGGCCAGGTTATTATAGCAACCCAATTCTCTCTCCAGTCCGAATTCGGCGTACCTATCTTATCTAACTCCGACTTCAACCGTCCAAGATCAATCTTATCGATTGGCTTTAACAACGCCGGCATCTTTTCTAGCTACATCTTAGGAATCTCTCTTACAATGGGTTCCCACAATCCCGTCCATCCAATGGCATTCGTTCCTACCAGCCTACAAAGCCTCATTCTCTTCAAACTTCTCTTCTGCTTGGTAGCAGGGAGATAAAAAGATAGATGGACCATGAGCTCCACAACCAATGGGTAGCTTTACAAAAAACAAAGGAGGAATAACTCTTATCGTGGTAGTGAACTTCCCTTCACACACCTTAGATAATTCGATCTCCTCTTGTGTGGCCACCGCCCAAATTCCGTCAGAGACACTGGTTGCTTTAGGTAACATTACACTAGCCAACACCTCTACCTGACAATGATCTTTAATTCCCTTCTTATTTTTCTTAAATAAATCTAGTACACATAGATTGTGACTACCTGTCACGTAAATTGGACTTACAGACCCACAGATAACTAGGGCATCATTATTGCATTTTTCTGATTCTCCCTTTGTTAATAGCATAAACTCTGTCCTGGCTAGGTTTAGGGCAACAAATTCAGTCTCTACCTTGTACCTAGCCACCGCTGCTATCTTCGGCCTTAGTTTTGGATAGGGAAGGGGAAGATTCATCACCTGATAAATTTCAAAGGTACTATCTCTGTCCAGTAATGGAACCAACACTAACACTCGCAATTTGTCATCTTCCAACAAGGTAGTACATCCCAAGGCACTATAGTACATCCATAACTGCTGGGTGGGGCCTACAGGTAATCTAAGATGATAGGGTAGTTTGGTTTGTATCTCCAGTCGTACTTCCCTTAAGCGTTCTGAGACGGGTGTCCCAGCGACAGTATGTCTAATTGTGCTCTCACATGCTCTAACAACACTGTTAAAGAGTGACTTGTTTGACGTACTTTACTCATTATAGCTAATAATTGAAAATACCTTTGCAAAACCCCCTCTAATAACTGTAATTCGGTTGTTACAGACGTGGTTACATTTATCACTTCTTTTCTAAAAATCCGTAGGTGAGAAATCAGCCAATTAATACCCCCTCTATTCTTAGACAATTCCAGCCTAGTAACATTGAGTATAGATACCCTCTCTCTAAGCGACTGAGCCATTGTTTGTTGTCTCTGTTCTACCGCCTTTAATTTCCTCTTAATTACTCTCATTTCGCCATCGGAGACTGTACCAAACAACACGCTTAATGCCTTTCCCACTATAGATAATACTGCCCGCTTTTGCCTGGTCCGTAACAACTTTATTCCTTTCAAATAGTAACTCATATTCTTCCATTGTCTCTCAAGTATTAGGGATTCCTGAGCTAAGGGGTATAATATACGATGGTATTCCGGAGTCTGTAAATATTCTCCGGCAACTTGTGTCCTGGCTGTATCTAGTTTGTCCACTTCGGTCTTCAGTTGAAGACCCAGTAACTTCTCATACGGCTGCAGGTCTATCACCAAAGTTATGCACCACTTTGATCTCGTTATAATCACTTCGCTAGTCTTCTTAAATACAGTATTCTCACTGTGTTCCCAGGGATTAGCTACCACAACTAGCATCATCAGTACCACGAGCCTCCTCTCGTCCATGTCTGCAAGGAGATGGAGAGAATAATTTGTCTTACTCAATCATTCTCTCATCGTTTTTATCGGGTGGTTACATCTTAGAGCGATACCTCAAGCACCGACCCATACCACCACCAGCGCCGTGCATGCATGAGGCCTGTACACACAGTTCACCAGCACTGATGATAAATGCACAATTAGTCTCAGACCGTCACTCATTCACCACAGCCACTGTGCTGGTTTCACTTAATCTTTGGGCTCAGGCTGCACCGCTCCCCTCGGCCGCCGTTTTAGTGGTAATTCCTCATTAACACTAGGTGCTTTTTCAGCCCGCAATTTACTCTGCAATTGAGCTAACGGAATTTCATCCTCTTCTTCCCATTCACTCAGTTCTTCTTCTTCCTTAAGATTAGGCTCAATCCCTGCTTCCTCAGAATCTCCTGCTGGGGTCCGATTTACCTCCCTCAGCCTACGAAGGGTAGTTGGGCTAATCCCAATCTCCTCAGTCCCTTCATTTTCACTCTCAGTCTCTAACCCTTCGGGTTCTAACAACGTAGATTTCTTCAGCCTTTTCTGTTAAGTTTCTGTTTCGGCAATTCACCTTCTCTCATGTGTATTTTATATTTATAATATCGGGAAGGAAATTTCTCTATTTTTATTAACCCTATCGTTTAGCCTTTTCTGAGCTCTTTTAAATCCTCCTCCTCTCCTGCGTAAAAATTTTATGGTGTTGTTCTAAAACTATTTGGTGATAATCCTCTCCTAGATACTTCCTCCTAGGTCATAACAGATTGTCTATAGGTAAGACTACATCCCTGCCATATATCAAGTAATAAGGGGAAAATTTTGTCGTCTCGTTTATCGAGAATCTCACAGCTGCTAACGCTTGGGTTACGAATAAATCCCAATTTTCCCTATTATCCTCTGTTAGTTTAGCTAACACATCAGCGAAGGTCTTATGAAATCTTTCTACTTTAGCGTTACTTTGGGGCTGATATGGAAAGGTGGTTATGTGCTGTATGTTTAATTCTCCCAACATCTCTCTCATAATCTGATTCACATTCTCCGATCCATTATCGGTAACCAACTGTTCGGAGGCCACATACCTAGGGAATATTTCGTTCAGTATTATATCTGACACCGTTCGTGCCTTCTTATCCGGTATGACAAATGCCCCAGGCCAATTCGTCAGCCACTCCACAAAACTCAGTATGTAAAGATTACCTCTATGTGTTTCTCCATAAGGCCTGGAGATATCCATTCTTACTTTCTGAAATGGATAATTTGGAACATCCGTTTCTAATACTGGGGCAACCCTACTCCTTTGATTCTGTACTTGGCATGTGACATTTTTTTTACATGGTTCACAACATCATTAAACAACTTAGGCCAGTAGTAATTTCTCATTATTAATCCATACGTCTTATCAATTCCCAGGTGTCCTAACTTCCTATGGCACTGATCTAGAATTTCAGCTCTCAACTTCTCAGGTATCACCATTTTTAAACTTACTTCCTCATCTCTTCCTGAAAGGTAATACAACACACCATCGTGCACCATACATTTGGAGATACGCCCTGCCCCTACCCTGGACCTGATAGTTGCTATCTCGCTATCCTCTTGGTTTTGCCTAATAATATCTCTCCAGTGGGGGTCGGAAACAATTTCCATTTCACTCGTTTCCTGATCTTCCCAACCAAGTCTCTCTTTCAACGCCTGTGAATTGATTACATTAATTTGGAATGCTTTATCATTCACACCCAGCTCTAACCTGGCATATTCGGTCTCTAATTGCCTTGGAATCCTTGATAACAGGTCAGCACAGGTATTATCCTTCCCTGCCAAATATTCTATTCTGCAGTTATACCCACTTAACTTCAATGCTCACTGTTGTATCTTCTTATTCGTCCACTCCGCCTTTAACAAATATTTCAGGGGTTTGTGGTCTGTTTTAATGGTAAACACAGCCCCACTCAAATAATAATCTAATTTCTGCACAGTATACAGAATGGCGAATGCCTCTTTTTCTATTACTGGCCACCTTTGCTGAGACTTGGAGAGCCGATGAGACAGAAAATAGATTAGCACTTCCTCAGGCACACCCAGTACTGGTTCATCCTTATCAGGACATGGTTGTGTAAGAACCGCCCCGATGCACTTATCGCTAGCATCGGTGTACAGCACCATGGGCTTACCCAGGTTTGGATAGGCCAACAGGGGTACAGCTGTCAGCTGGTCATTTAGAGGATCGAATGCACGCTGACAATCCTCGGTCTACTTAAACCTAGCATGTTTCTTAGAGTTATTAGAGGGCCTGTTAACCGACTAAATGCTGGTATGAACCTCCCCTAATCTTTCCCACGGTCTTCGGTGCGGGCACGATTCTTATAACCTCTACTTTGTCTAAATCCGTTTTTATTCCTTCTTTGTTTATGATAAACCCTAAGTACTTTGTCTCTTCTTTCATAAACTGACACTTTGATAATTTTAACTTTAATCCATGTTCTCTTTACCTATCGAACACCTGCAAATGTTCAAAAATGCTCCCCCGGTGATTTTGAAAACACCATGATGTCATCTAGATACGCCACGGCAAATGCCTCAGTGCCAGTCAGTTAATGTCCATCGTATTGAAATACGATGGACATTAACTGACTAAATACACCCGGGGCGTTTGCCAGCCCAAACGGCATAACTCTAAAATTGAAGAGGCCCATGTAGCAAGTAAAAGCGGTCTTTTCCTGATCCTTTTTGCTAAGTGCTACCTGCCAATATCCCGACCTCAAATCCAAGGTGGAAAAACATTTAGACTTTCTTAAAAGAGCTAGAATATCATCAATCAAGGGGAGGAGCACTGCAAGCAGTTTCGTAATGGCATTTAATTGACGAAAATCTACAAAAACCTATGCCCTCCATCCTTCTTTCAACAATCACTATTGGAAAACTCCAGGGGAGATTTGGATCTTTCGATTATCCCTGATTCCATCATTTCATTCACTGCGTCCTCTACTAATTTTCTTTTGTGGATTGGGGTCCTATACGGTCTTAACTTAATAGGTGGGTGATAAACCGTGTCTATCTTCATTTCAACTGTCTCCGTCTGTCCCAGATCCTTATCCGTAATGGCTATTACCTCCCGATTACCATTCAGCAACATCCTCAATTTCCTCCTATAACGCTCAGGAGCTGTAATATATTCATCCCTTATTTCATCGCTACCTGTCTTATTCCCATGCCTATTCTCATTCCACACTCTCACCTGTTCGACTTCTCTCACTGGGCACGCCTGTGCCAGCTCCTCTCCCTGCTTTATTTTAATAGTTTTATTGGCAGTATTGGTTAACAGTAAGGGAACGGTCCCCGACCTCTTCACCAACGAATCACACACGGTTATTTCCCCTTCACTATTATCATACCTATCAGTAGGGGTCACTCCTTCTGTTATAATCTTGCCCTTCCCATATACAGTATTCCTAGGGGAAGCTTTATATCTGTCTGGGCTACCACTGGCAATTGTTCATAATTATCCTCTCTCAACAGTATCCCTACCCCGTCCAATGTTAGGTTGGCGGGGTCAAAACTGATCCGTGCCTTATTCTGCTTAAGCCAGTCACTTCCCAAAATTAGCTCACCACACAAGTCAGGTGCCACATAAACCTTAAGTTCACCTTTGGTTCTTGCCAACTGGAAAGGTAGCCACGTCATATCCTCTATCCTCGTCCTGCTACTATCAGCCTGACTTATTAATAGATCGACGGGACTAAGCTTTGTTTTCAGTCCCAACTGTCTAAAAACTTTGGAGCTAACCAGCAACACTGAAGTTCCAGTATCGACAAGGGCCTTCACCTTCTTGTCTCCCAGCAACACATTACAGGTGAAGTCTGGCCCTTCCTTCAGCAAATGGTATACCTGTGCCTTTCTCCTTCCCGTATGTTCTCTCCCTTCCTCCCGCTTTCTCGACAAACGAGACGTGGGAGTCGGTGACAGGAGTTCACCTTTTTCTAGGGGCTCCAGTTTCTGCCTAGGGGCCCACCTGGTTGGGATAGAGCTCGGATGGCCCTCTTTTCTCGGACTGGCAACCCTCCATTCGAGTTAGGGTTGTTCCGTTCGGTGTGGTCAATCTTTCTCCTGTGCGGACAGGTTTGTCTCAGGTGACCCGCTCCTCCACAGCGCCAACACCTTCGCTCTTTACAACTGGCCGAAAAGTGCCCGACCACACCACATGTCCAGCATCTCAGAAGTCTTACCTGCACTGGGCCACCCTGCCTCTTACTTTTTCACGGGTGACCCAACGGCGTTTCCCGGACCCTTTTCCTTCTCGGTATGGGCACCAGCGTATTATCTCGCTTTATCCCCAGTTTACGGTCTCCCTCTGTCGTACATCACCAAGCCTTGTGCCCAAACTCGCCACAAGTCGTGCAGTCTGGCCCCAAAGACCTTGGGTCGCCTCCATAGTTTGTCGGATAGTCGCGGGCCCGATGCCCACCATACTTGCAAGTCCAACACACCAGCCCATATCGGCCCGGTGTGGGCTTGTGAAACCCATAACGCAGATCCCAGGATCTCCTATTGGGAACTGCCTCAGCCTTCCAGTCCTCTTCCACCTCTTCTTTCGGATCCCGTATCTGGATCCGCTCCCGGTACTTCTTTTTCATCACTACCTTGCCTCCCCTCGGAGGTTCCTATCTACACCCCCTCTTATTCTATCCCAAAGGTCGTTCGCTGGTCCGAGCTGCCTCTATGGCTGCGGCCAGGCTGACCGGTCCCTGTCATTCAGTGCGTCCACATATATATCGGCCAACAAGGCCTGAATCGGACCACTGTCCCGTGTCGCCAACCCCGGAAAAGCTAACCCCACTAGCCCCGCGATTCTTTCCCCCAATTCCTGATTAGTCTCTCCTTCTTGTTGCTGTAGCCGGAGTAATTTCCTGACTGCCTCAATGGCCGTACGCTCACTTGCGTATTGCCGCACCAGAGCGGATTTAAGCTCGGTCCACGTCAGGGCTGGGTTTTCTTTGTACCCTCCCCCTATGAACTTGGACACCTGCCCCGCTGCGGCGTCGTAAGCTAGGGGCACCATTTCTTGGTCCGGGCATCTTCTGAATGGACAGAATCCATTCATGCATGTCCGCACGATATTTCGGTGACTCCCACGTCCCCAAAGTCATCTGTGGCGTCTGATCCTGTTAAGCTCATCCTAGCGTCTTGTCAACTACCACTTTCCCACGAGAAGAGAGACCAACGACAGAACGAAAAGAAAAAAATACTTAACATGGTGGTGGCGCTTGAACTGCGTACAAAGTCGACAAAGTCAAAACAAGATCAGCAATATTACTGGCAGATCTAATTGCGAGTGAACAAAGGAAACCAAAACGTGACTTACCTGAGGTCCGCCGCTCCGTGTTTTGTTTCTTTATCCTCCTTCTTTTGCTTCCTTCTCTTTTTCTCCTTATGTCTCTTTCAGACCAATATAGTCCGAAGACTAGAGGCAATTACCACGGGTCTATCCTGGTCACAGGCACCAGTCTAACACTTTCGCCCCGGCCCCTCAACCTCCGGCATCTTACTCTCGGGATTGAGGTGCCTACTCGGTCCTAACCGAACTTAAGAGAGTGGCCATAGGTCCCCTGAGCATCCGTAGATTATTCGACCTGTCCGCTGGTTTAATCCTGCTTCCTGCTCACGTTGTGTTTGGTTTGATCCAGAAAGAAGTGATGTCCGTCCATTCACGGTCGACTGAAGATGTAGACACGGCTGGGGAGTCTGCGCTAAGAAATTTAGAATGCAGCAAAAAAAAAATATATGTCTGCCGAAAGCCGGACAAACATCGATTCAATAGTTGAATTGGTAATGTCTTTTATATAGCAGAAAAGAATAGTAGAGAAGAGAAACGGGTTACAGAAAAGTAAAAAAAAAAAAACTCATACATTGGATTTCGACCATTTCCATTGTCATCTGATGACCCAGATTCAATGGGTACAACTTCTGCCCTAGATCAGATTTTCCCATCAGTAAAAAAAAATGCTCTGATTTAATTTCGCTATTCAAATCTACACCAATTTCACTAAAAAAAAAAAAAATACGTGTGTGTTTCCCAGACTCTCTCTGTCACACATCCTAATGTAATTTTTGATTTACATAATTAATATTCACCATTGAATTAAGAGATGATGTTGAAAAATAAATGAGTTATAGATTACTCAAAATGCAAGTATCAATAGTTAATCTTTCTATTCATACGATTAACAAAGTTTTCGACTTATGTCTGTCAATCATTATCCCCGTTTGTGTCAGTGAATGACGGAGACAAATGGCAAATCAATTAGTAAAAACCAATATATTATTAACAGTTTTTTCTCCTTAAAAAATAGGGACTGCGTTGATCTACTTTGTAATATTACATGTAATTTACAATGACATAGTGAACAACATATTTTTTCAGTTTACTTTCATTTTCTCTTGTTTGAAATCTGTTGAAGTGGGGGAATCCAGATGTCTATGTTAGATGATCCCAACAAACATTAAAAATGAAGAAGTGACACAGGCCAAGGCAAGGATAACTAGAACGAAGAGTTTAGATAAAAATATGCCAAATTTATTATTGACAAAAATACAATGTAAAAGGAACAAAGGATGCAGATGTTTTAAATACCCTAAATGTCCATGCTGGGAGTTAACTTTTGGTTTTAGATGCGCCAGCAGATGATGGTGACTTGGGTCGTGCCGAATGGTGCAGATGGTGTGTTGTAGCTGGGAATCATATCCCAGTTTAGACGGTAGTTGGTAGCCCGAAGATGAAACCGAAGCAGCTTGGGTCGACGATTGAACTACTGAACTCAAACGTTAATTTCTGTTGTAAATTGTAAAGCAATCTTAATTTTGTGCGCAATATATAACTGATTGTCAGTTAGAAAGTACCCCCGCCCTCTGCACAATAATTAGATACCAAAACTATGTTTGGGGTGGAAATATGCGTGTGAAAGTAGCACTTCGGGAATACGTGTCACTCTTCGTTTCTTTCACTCGTGCACATGCGCATACACACACATAAAGTAAAAGGAAATTTTATACTTTTGTATTTATTTACTTTAATCATTTATGAAAAGAAAAGCCGTACATGTTAAACATGCTTCCTCCCCCATATATACGTATGTATGCTTGCGCATATCTCTGACACCTCTCTTTCTCTCTCTAATAGCAACAAATTAAATTAAATGTTCATTTTTCTGTCCAAAAAAGTGAGTTTTGATGGAAAACGTTGTGAAAGCAGAGTAAGGTGTAGGGACAGATAAATGACCATTTAACTTTATTTGTTACTAATGATGTTATATACTGCGTATGGTTGTAAACGTAACAAACGAAAAACAACAATGTATTGATGATGAGGCGAAAAAAAATGGAGACAAGATATGTTAAAATTAAATTAAATTATTAAACAAGGGACCACTGTGAACTGCCAGTGATCTGCCTTGAGGGTCGCCGAGCGGGTCCTTTTAAGCTATCAGGGTGGATACATGACTTTTTGCCAACGTTTATGAGTGCCTCGGAGTTTTTTTGTTTTGTTTTGTGATCCAGATGCGATGCTCGGAGCCTCGATTTTTATTTTTAATTTTGCATTTCTATTATTTACATCCAACCGACAGGTTTTGATGTGGAGTGAACCAAAAAGTAAAGAAATTTGAAGAAGAGTATAACAGTGCTATCGCTCTCTCTCTCTCTCTCTATATATATATATATTTATATATATCGAATCGACTTGGAAGGCTCTGTGGGATGCAAGACATTCTGCATCATTGGAGGTCCTCAGACTACCACATCGAAAATACCAAGACTGGTTTGATGACAATAACAGAGAGGTTCGGCAGCTTATAGATCAAATGAACTCTTCTCATAGAGTGTGTTGAGAATAAGAACTCGTCCACTAAGAAGATCGCTTACAAGAAGTGCAAAAGTCTGGTCCAACAAGCTCTCAGAGCCATGAAAGAGCGTTGGTGGTCTGAAAAGGCCACTGAACTCCAAGAAGCTTCAGATAGAAAGGATCTAAAGGCTATGCTGGCCTCAAGAGCGTTTTCGGTCTTTAGAAAAGTGGTGTTGCTCCAATCTCCACGGCAGATGGTGGAACTCTCTTGACGGATAAGTCAGACATTTTGGATCGCTGGAAAGAGCACATCGAAACTGTGTTAAACACCACTTCGGTTACCGGTGAGGAAGCCATCACATCAAATGTGCAAAATCCAGAAATTCCGGTTGTCTTTTGAACCTACGTATCAAGAGGTAAGTGACTCCATCAAGCAGATCTAATCTAGGAAATCACCTACTCATAAGGATCTTATTCCACCTGAAGTGTATAAGCATGGTGGCCAAAGGTTGGTAGAAAAATTGATATCAGAATCCTTTGATCTCACGAACGGCACCAAGCAAGGGAGTGTCTCCTGTCCTTTTTGCACTTCTCGGTGATGCTGAAATATACATTCGCAGACACAGAGAGCAGCGTCAAGTTTCAGTTTCGAAAACAACTGGTGGACTCTTCGTACACAAATTATCTGTGATTTGTTGTTTGCTGATGCTGCTACTCTTGTTGCGACATTCTTTGAGAAGGCCCAACATCTACTAAATTGTTTCTCTGCTGCATGTAAAGCCTTTGGTCTTACACTTAGCATAAAGAAAACTGAAGTAGTGCACCAACCTTGTCTTACTCTGAAGCAATTCCGTAGTGTGAAACAAAAAACACCAGTCTACAAATTTCCAGAGAGACTATTGAAAGTAGAAGAGCTGAACTTTGTAAAGTCTTTTACTTATCTTGGTAGCGAAGTCAACTACAGTGGATCTTTAGATGATGAATTCATGCATCAGATTGCTAAGGCTACCAGTGATTTCGGCAAACTTTGCCATGGCTTGTGGGATGAGCGGGATATCCGACTGGATACGAAAATTTGGGTTAACAGAGCTGTTGTCCTTGCTATCCTTTTGTACGGCTCAGAGTCGTGGACTCCATACAGGTACCATATAAGCCAGCTGGATGTTTTCCATAAGAGCTGTCTGCATGCCATCTGCGGAGTTAGCCTTCAAGACAGGACATCCAATGTAGACCTGTTTAACATGTGCAATATTAAAGTAATCGAGACCTTCTTCATACAGTCTCAGTTGTGGTGGAATGGTCATGTCTTGAGAATGTCTGATGACATGATACTCAAGATACTAATGTACAGTCAGATCAGGGACACAGGAATGTAGGACGCCTATGGCTTAGATACAAAGACAAGCTGAAGAGCAACTTGTTCGCTGTCAATATACCTCATAATATCCTCGAGCGCTTAGCCTTGGAGCGGATAGAATGGAGATCAACGTGTTTTAGTAGACTCAGCGGTTTTCAAAATGCTGGTCTGAATCGTCTACAAGAAGCGAGAGCAAGCCATCTAAAAGTGACCTCATCCCACAATCCTCACTCTTGCTCCATATGCGGCCTCCTTTGCAAATTACTCGCGGGTCTTAAGTGTCACTTAAGATTATCGCGCAAAATTCATAACTGAATCTGTTGGTTAAGCTGTCAAATACTCATACGTCGAAACTGAAGGGAAAGTTCATTATATATACATTGAGCACTTTAATGCCTAAAAATCGTTATGTTCCAGTTGACTTTCTTTTTCTTCTAAACACCTCCCCTGCTATTGTTAAGCAAGTAAATATATACCATTATTTTAGTCAGACAGACACTTTTAAAAAATTACACTAATTGATATTTACTTAATTTACAATTAAAATCCAAAAGAAATAAGCGCACAATAACTTCACCAAACTTCGTTTTTCAGGAGAACAAGATTTTTTACGTTTAGATGGAATTAATCAGTGACAAATAGCATGGAAATTGGAAATTACACGTTCTACTGCAAACTGCATTCTTCCTGAATAAAAGTAAAAAAAAAAAAAAAATTGTGTCTCATTCAGATCAACCTTTGCAGTTCATCTTAGTGTGAGATGAAAAATTGAATAAAAAAAATAATACATTACTTTGACGTAGTAAAGTATATCAAAATCATCCAATCCCTTCAATCTCCTCATTGGATTGGGTTATTATGGCAGATCAGTTAGAAGAAAGACACTTTTTAAACGTACCAACTTGCAGTGAGAAAACAGTGAATGATCGCAACAGGAGACAGACTTTTGGAGTATTGGAAGTCATTTTTCATCTTTACTAATATTTTGAACAGCATACAAGCACAGGTCATAAGATTTGAGTGTGTAGAGAGTATAAGTTGAGAAATAAAATTATTAATTTTGTAGGTGGAATATCTTTGAATATTCATTGATGGTCAATTCGACAATCACAGAAGGAGGGTGTTCTAACCAATATAATTATTCCGACAAAATGGTAGGTGCTAAAATTTAGTAAGCAGTTTTATGGTTATGTGAGTCGAATAGAAAGAAAGTCTCTTGAATATATCCATGCAAGTCATTTTCTATCGAGAACAAAAATGCTGAGTAAAAACCAAAAATTTCGCTTTAGGTTTTGAACGCAGTATATGAAATGCT